CGGAGGCAGAACCCCGGGGACCCGCGGGGAAGGGCCCGCGCACCCTCAGCCGCGCCCGTCCCTTCTCCGCAGGCCGCCCTGCAGCACGGCGTGATCGCGGGTCGCAGGGGCTTCGGGAGCATTTTCGTCGTGGCCAGCGGCAACGGCGGGCAGCACAGCGACAACTGCAACTACGACGGCTACGCCAACTCCATCTACACTGTCACCATAGGTGAGCACGGGTGTCTTCTGCCTCCTTCCTTCCCAGCGTGGAAAATCACCCCAGAAGCGCCAAACAGGCCCAGCTGGGAGTCGGCGGGAGAGCGGGAGTGTGCAGGAGCCGTGGGCCCTCGGTGGTGGCCGTGGCAGCGTGGAGAGCTGAGCGGGGTCCAGCCCCCCAGTCTGCAGATTTTTTTGGACCCACAGAGCAAGAGGAGGCCCAGGGAATCCCTGCCTGCGCTCAGGCCTCTGTCGGCGGGGCTGGGGCAGACAGGCCGAGGGAGCGACCCCACATGCAGCGTTCCCAGCGCGTGAGTTAGGAAAGAAACGGCCGATCCACCACCTTGGAGGCAGGAGCTGCATGAGGGGTAGAAGATCTGTGTAATACTAAGCACAGTGAAAGGGTGTTTATTGCCTTTCCTGAGGATCTTCCAGCTGTGGGAAATACAGGCTCGGCTCTGGTTTCCCAGCCCAGCTGCCAGCAGCGAGCAGCACAGGCTCCCGGGGGCTCGTCACCTCAAGTTCTGCAGGTCAAAGCAAACAGGTTTCAGACGGTCGATGCCTTTCCCTGTCCCCAGGCGCGGTGGACGAGACGGGCTCCATGCCATTCTACGCTGAGGAGTGTGCCTCCATGTTAGCCGTGACCTTCAGCGGCGGGGACAAGATGATGAGGAGCATTGTGAGTACCACGCCAGGCACTTGCCTTGCCCTGTGCTCCAGGAACGTCTGGGGAGCTCCTCCAGCCCAGCCCCGGCCCGGCCGGCACAAAACAAGCTTTATCCCAGCTCTGTGTGCCCCTCCGCAGCGAGGAGGGAGCTTGGGGCGCGACTCCGTGCCAGTGTGGGCTTTCCTGAGGAGACGGGGGGGGCTGCGGGGGTGCAGCATGCCCTGCCCCGCCAGCCCCCCGTGCTCCTGCCCCAGAGGGATGGTGGAGCACGGGGGGGCTGGGAGCAGCGTCGGGCTCTTTAAACTCCTCGGCCCCAGCTCCTCTGTTGTGGCACATGTGCCTCTCCCGGCTGAACTTTTCCGAGTATTTTTATCAGCTTCCCCTTTTTTTGCCAAAAAATGACTTCTTGTCAACAAAATGTCCTTTTTGCCTGAGCCAAGCAGCGAGGCCTGTTTTGACCGGCCCCAGGCCCAACCCAGCACGTTCCCCGCTTGGTGCTGGTGCGCTCGGGGGGGCTCTCAGGCCAGACAGCCCGTGGGGGGGGCGCAGGGGTCTGATGGACGGGGGATGATGCCCAGGGGTGCAACAACGTGCAGCTGTGACTCTGTGCCTGCCAGAGGGGAGCTGAATCCCAGCCTGCTGGGTGGACTGGGGGAACTGGGCGAGCCCAGGTTCCTCGCCCACCTGGTTGGGACTCTGCAAGCTCCTCGTGCCGGGCAGGAATCCGTGTGTGGCATGGGGCAATCGGCCTGGAACAACGGCTCAGCTCACATGGCAGGGAAAGGAAAAGCCAGAATGGCACTAATCTTTCCTTTCGGAAAGAACTTCAGTTGTCCCAGGCTGCTTTGGAAAGTACTGACGCTAAGAAAAAAGGGCACAGCAGCCAGGCAAGGGCTCTGCTGCACTTTTCACCAGGAGCTTGGGGTTCATGCCCGGAGTCCCCCAAGGCTGCTGCCGCTGCGAGTGCTCTGAAGGGCCCGAACAGCCCTTCCTTCCCAGCAGTGGCTCTGTGGGAGCGTGACGCGGGAGCAGGCGAGCGGCCGCGCGCAGCCGGGGCATGGCACGTGCCAGAGAGCGGCCGGTCGCTTCACCGTACCACGAGGGCTCCTTTCGGCCACCCGTGCCACGTTAAAACTTGCCCGTCCCTTTTCCTGGAGGGTAGTCTGCTCCTAAACGCCCTTTAACTGAGCTCCGGTGGTGGCAGGAGTTAACTTCTCAGCAGCCGTCTGCTGGGTGTTTTTTTCTTTTACCAGACTATAAACTTCGTGTGGTTTCCTTAATGGGAAGAATTTAATACGGCTTCTGGCACTGGCTGCATTTCCTACTGAAAGCTTGTGCCGCTGAGGGTGTTCGCTGGAGGACGTGCAGCATCCGGGCGCAAGCTGGGCTTGTTAGGAGCTGGCAGAGGGTCCCGGAGCCGGGCACGGGAGCAGCAGACCCCAGCGGAGCGCGGGCCGTCTGCCCACGGGCAGCGCAGGGAGACGGGCACAGGCGGCTTGTGGCGAGGTGGCCCAGCTCGGGACACGCCGCTCTCCCCGCTAAAGCCCGGGGAAGTTAAACCCTCCCTAGTCCCTGCACTGGGGTTAAGCTCAGCTTTCCTTCTGCTGGCCGGGCTTTGCTAGCTCTGCCTGCAGCCTCCCAGGCTGGCTGGAGCCATCGGCGCGGCTGCTCGGGGAGTGCCCAGAGCCGCCCACAGCACCCCTGGGTGAGCTTCCCCACTCCCAGCGCCCTGCGGGCACCCCGGGGCCCACCCGCTCCCCTCCTGCCGCTGCCACAGCCGGGGAACGTGGCACCATCTGCCAGGAACGGAGCGAATCCTGTCCCAGGCTGCGGCACAGCAGCACCATCCCCTGCTCTGCCAGAGACACACCCTGCCTGGCACCGGGGTCTCACTCCTCCCAGACGGAGCAGGATTGCTGCGGAGACAACCCGGGCCACAGCGGCACTGTCACCAGCCTCGCAGAGGAGACGGACACGGCCAGACTTTGTGCTCTGGCCTCTGCACAAGGCGTCGTGCCAGGAGTCCTCTGGAAAAGGCCCCACCCCGCTCTGCCAGGAACCAGCGACGCACGCAGCGCATCGGGGGGTCGCAGCACGCACACACCTGCGATGCGGCTCCCGTAGGCAACTCCCACCGTGCAGAAGCTGTTGTTGGGCACGGCCGCGATCTCCCCGGCACAGCGGGTGCCATGGTGGTTGCCGTTCTCCTCGTCAGGGTGAGGCATAGGGTCGGGGTCGTTGGAGTTCAAGTCATAGCTGCCTTCCGGGCTCTGAAAAGGGACCCGGTGGCGGATCAGCACTCTGCTTTCCTCTCTCTGGGATAAAGCAGGGCTTAAGAGCGTGCTGCGCAGGCTAAGCGCAGCCCGCAAGGTGTGGGAGCTGAGCAGCTGCCTCCCCACAGGGCTGCAGCTCCACGCTACCAGCTGCTGGTGGAGAGGGCCCGGCAGAGGTGGCTTTAGCCACCGCCGCGGCTCAGAGGGAGCCCAGCCTTCGCACGTGCCCCCCCAGTAGCACGAAGGCCGGCGACCCTGCACCTTGGCTGCAAGATCTCCCCGGGAGAGGTCTGCCGCTGGCCCGGCCTGCCCTGGCCAAGTGCAGGGTGCGAGAGCAGGTCAGGCCACGCTCCCCGGCCCCCAGCCTGCCCCCACGCCCGCCCG